ACTGTTGTACTTCCTGAGGAGAAGCCGAGAATGAATCCAAGACAGAAATATTTATTGCAAATAAACTTTGACACTAGACAACATCAGTAGTTTCCTTATGAAAATACCACTGCGATATCTCGAATATCGTGACAACTGAATCATGAGGCCTGTGTGCAGCACATTCAGTTGTAGAATGTCACAAACGAGAAGTTCAGCTGAGTCTCTCGTGGAAACCAAATTGATTTGCAAATGAGTATATTTCTAGAAAACAGTCCAATTTGGGTTCAAGTAGAACATAAGGTTGACGGAAACTCGGGGACTGTGCCTACCTGATGAGCCCCAAGATGGGCGAAACCGGTGGTTGGCCTTTGAAAAGTTTTCACCAACCTTGCGAATAGTTTCCTTTATGAAAGGGCTTTCAGACTTCTTCATTAGGCATCAGGGGAAGAATATTCACTTTCAGTTTTTTGCGCGCGGCTGACCGCCCATACTCAGATTCGCTGGCGGGACTTCCTGATTAATCAGTTGCACTTCCAGTGACTTCTCCATTCTCTAGCGATCCACGATGCTTCAGGGTCTAAAACGTTGCAGTTAAGGACAAACAAGTTTCGGAAAAGATGAGAGAAGTATGTGGAGTAATTGCAGTGCTTTTTACTCGAAGTTGACACACCTATGCTGTAGCCTATTCAACCATTCAACGTTAACATACAAATAGTGAATAAAGACGCTTAATATTCTGATTTCAGGTGATACTGGGGGAGTATCAACATACAGAATTACCGCGATGTGTGCTTCGCGCACTATCGACCCCGCCATAGGCGTCATACTGTGAAAGACAACTCGTTGATTGAGAAATGCAGAGAACCATTCTCTGACCGGTTCTTTAGAAAACGTCTAATTTCGAGGAGACGTCTCAACCAAACTGTAGCTTCATTGGGCTATACAAAACTTGAGGAATTGTGCAGCTTTAAACGGTGACGAATGTCGTACAATGGATCCCTGGAGGTTCGGTGATTTCAAGGGGGATTTGCATGGCTGGGAGTTCTCTTACATTCAGGATTGCTAAAGTCAACCAGCGCTGATCAAAGAGTGACGTCTTACACTATGTCTTCAGAACCGATTTTTCACTGACACTGCGTACATGGGAGTAGTTTATATATCTAGGATTGGGGCATATTCCTGTTTAGCTAGTTCATTAGGAGAAGTCGTCGAAAGTTTTTTCTTCAAAAAGGGGAGCCCACTGATGGCATTTCGTGGCCGTTTCATTCCAGATACATTGTTTTTTCGTACATCCCAAGCATTCCGCAGTGTGTTCGTTAGATCCTTCCTCACTTGCGAGTGTTTGATTTGTTGATGGAACTAGCTGGTGGCCATTGAAGGCATTAATTCTGTCAAGGATGGTTAATTGATGGTCACGCGTTCTTCAGTAAACGGGTGCTCGCAAGAGGAAAACTAGGGTCTTGTCTTTGGTATGACCAACAAACTAATACAGTTTGGTGGCAGTGGTAGAGCAGGTTGCTAGATTTTGTGCCTCACTTAGCACTGTTGCTGCAAGAATAAGTACGTAATTTCCCAAAGTGCGCAATACAGGAGTAAAACGTTTTTGATTTGAGCTATATCTATAAGATAAGCTAAATAACCGCTATAAACAAAACGTGCAGTTTAGGTAGTGCTTTGAGCAATTAGGCTGTCACCTGATCTGAGGACAGCTATCGTGGGTAATGATTGACAGGAATTCAGATAAACACGATGTCTGTCGGGATAAACCTTCAGATGGCCTTCAATTAAGAGGACGAACAAATATTTCAAACCCTGGACGGAACATCCAACCCATTTTTATAAGCACATCACTAAAGATTCACCTAGATGCATCTGAAGAGAGCGACCAAAAGTTGATTGATTAAATACTCTACGGAGGGGCACCCGTGTGCAGGCTGAGGAAAATATGAATTAGTATAAATTTTTGCATCTTTTAAAAAAAACAGGTCAATTATTAGCCTAAATGTCAGCCATATACCACTGATGTTGTCCTTTTACTGACGTGATCAATTGTTAGATATCAGGTTGTAGACATTGGGTGTCAATTCAACCCGCCTTTTAATAGTTTGCCAGTCGGATTGAAGTTTGCCTATAGTGACACGCATGCATGATGTGAAAATTATAGTTTCATACAACTTGAAAACTGGTCGATAATGCTGAAAGGAAGAAGGCTTTTGCTGCGGAGTCGTTTATTAAAAAATGCCAACTGAACGGTTACAGACTATTGGACAGGGAACCAAAACTCTCATATGCAACTTGTTTAGAAAAACTGAATACCCATCTTCTCTTTGAACGCCTCTTCCTGAACGTTCCCGGATATTCATTGACTGTCGCTCAAATCCAAGCTAACGCTACAAAGCGACTCCACAAATTCCTCAATAGATCTCATTTTTCAAGAGACGCAAAAAACATACTACTCGCATGCCTTCCCATCAGTAGCACCACTGTCACAATGGTATAATATTTCACTTGTTGGAATCACATGATCAAGTGCTCCATATGTGTTCCATAGGGTCCACATACTCCCTCTTTCATTACTCATATACATTTGGGAAGACGACTTCACTTGCCTGTTATTTATTCAAAAATTTTGGCAACTTTTCAGCTCGAAAAACAAGGCATTTATAATTAAGAATTACTCCAACGCTCGTCTCATGTGCACATTGCGTTTTTAGCGGCACCGTCTGGAACAAAATGTTCTATCGCGAGTTAAACCCTCATGTGTTGGATAACCAGAAAATAGTTGTGCAGTTGGATAACCAGAAAATAGTTGCGCACCCCACTTAACGATTACGGAGTATATTGACGTATCAAGCCATATCTGGGTGCTCAAAACTGTAACCCTAGTCGAGTGGGTGAATTTTTTCCAACATTTGTAAATCCAAGCTTCCAAAGGACTTAGTTTGTAAAAGAAATCAAAAATCATCTGTGAAAATGAAAACGCGTCTAAGGCGGTTTTAAAACACCACGGTGAAAATTTTGCTTCAAAGATGCTAACTATTCAAGCGCATTCTTGAAGTACTATGATCGTCCTCGGATTGCGGACGGTCCTTTCAAACTTGTGAACCACGAGTTACCGCACAAATTCAAATTCGCCTACTTCGGTACTGGGCGACTAATGCCTAACAAAGTACAACCTCGTTTTGGTACTTGTATTAAATATCTCCTTACATTCAAGTAGTTAAATGAAATCTGGACGTAATCAATAAAGTTCTGGTAGTTTTTGATGGCAGACGCACTTGATTCAAATGCCCAACCCATGCCTTTGCATCATCTGGCATGACCTTACTCGCCGCGAATCTACTTGAGACCAAAGTCTAAAGGCACATCCTGGAACCTTTACTCGATTATTTCACTGAGGGCACGGGCTGGTGGTAAAATGTCAACCAAGACTGCAAATGGGTACGGAATGACCTAATCATGTATTCCGTTAGGCAATTTTGCATTGTACTCAGACTACTTAGGTTTGGACAAAATAAGTAGTACGGTAAGTAGGCCACAATATCGCTACCGGAAGAGTCTCTTCTTTGGCGGCTACCTCTGAGTTGCTTCAAAAGGGTAATTAAAATTCACCTTTGTAATGCTAAAAACTCCTCGACAGTCCACGACCGGTCTCGCTCTTCTTAGGGCGCATCAGATAGGCGCAGTCCCCCTGTTTCCGTCAACCTTATTTTTTACTTGAAACCAAATTGCATGAAATTAGCGAATATATACTCATTTGCGAACTAATTTGGTTTTTCGAGAGACTCATCTGGAACCCAGCTAAATATCTCAGTTTTGATGTTTCCAGGCAACTGAATGTGCTGCACCAGGCCGCCTCAACTTTCAGTCGCTACGATATTCGAGATATCGCGATACATATATATTTTTGTAATGCACTACTTATAAGGTTACTGAAAACTCCTCGGCAGCCTACGACCGGTTTCGCCCTTCTTAGGGGTCATCAACTAGGTGCAGTCCCCGAGTTTCCGTCAATCAGATGTTCTACTTGAACCCGTTGAGACTACGTCTACACCTGGACGTGGCCAGCATTTCGATCGTTTTCAACCAAAACTTTTACATCATTCATTATTGACATCTTGTGAGGGTAAGTGAGATGCACCAGCTATCGTGAATTTTAGGTGTATTGTAATTTATTCCGACAAAATCACGCAGCAAACGTACTTTTAGCAACGTAAATGTTGGTCGTGTCTCACCAAACAGCCGAATACTATTCAACTTTCCAGTTCCGTGATCATATCGTTCACATTTGTCACAGACCAAAACTGTATTCCTCACTAGCCGATATTGTGCTTTTATTGTTAGCAGACGCTGTATTAGTATCCTGTCCTCCCTAAGTAAAATATCCTCTAATTTCTCCCTGGAGACCGAGAAAAATCAACATATCACAACTTGGGCAGTCCTTCATGACATGAACTAGATGTTTTTTCACCTTCAGGGAAAATTCACTGTTCTTACTTTTCCGAGTTCTTTGTTGCCTAGACTACGTAGGTTGTCATTCGATGACAGGAAACAAGTTTTGCTAAGCAACCTACACTGAAGATTGAAGTCAAATCAAATCTCCAAGCTGATCACGGGTCTGTCAACGCTTGATTTAATTGCAGTCTTAGGGAGATAGCATATTAAGTATGGGTACAACCATGTTCAATAAAACTGTAATTTGAGAAGCACAACTGAAAATATTTGCATCCGTATACAAGGAAGAGTGATTTTTTGATCTAGGGATAGGTTTGTAAACTGGACGTCGATGAAAAGGAAACAAACTAAGTGGGCGTTTGTAAAACGTGTTTCACCTTTTGATGGAAACGTGCTACCATATTGGCACAGTTCCCCAAAATATATATACATTTATAATTTATAATATATAATATATACATATATACACATATATACATATACATACGTATATATATATATATATCTATGGGTCCGCTCTAATAATCATGATCTGCAATATTCGATATAGCTTCTGGATAAAGGCCTGCCGTGAAGCCCCCACCAGAACAGGCAGACTGATCAGCGAGACTATTTAAAACGGAGTTTCCCTTGAAAAAACCTTCGTTCTTATGAAAACTCCCCTGTTTACTCAAATAATTGTTACAAATACTACACTGTATGAATATCTTCACATAATTGTCGCCCTATTCTTGCCATATTCTCTAACGGCATGACCATCCCAGGGAAATAAGCTGTGAGTATGGTAATATCCCCTCGTCCGAAACTGCATTTCATTTGCTCCCACCAAACAGTCATTTTGACTTTGTTGTGCATACCATCAATCATGGTATGTATCAACATCTACCAGGTTGCTTTCTGTCTGATAAAATTCTCTCTCGTTTTTGAGTGAATTCGTTCAAACGTTTGGATTATTTTTCATGAGTAACTATCGGTTTTGCTCAAATGTGGAATGAGCTGCGCTCGGCGCATGTCATCACCACTACAGCCTCACAAGGGAAGGCAAACCTGGGACAGCTAGCTGATTGGCCAGCTGGAAAATGAAACTGCTCTCCTAGAAACAACCAATCAGGCATTTTGACCATATTCGACTGCGTTGAAACTACTCAAGATGTGCCTCATTAGTGATTCTGCATGGAAAGTATTTTGTGAACTTTTATCCGTACGTTGGAATGTGGTTGAACTCGTGAACTGTTCTTCACACGACGAACAGTAGCGAGCCGCAAGCGTGCTGGCAAAAACTTGGATATGATGACAATCTTTCTGTGCGAACCTGTACAGCGACTTCCGATTAATTTAGTGTGTTTGCTCACATGTTTGATCAACATTTGTTTAGTGTGGACAACTTCAATAGTTCCCTCAAGTCACATCCACTTTTATTTGTCCGATAACACCCCGGCAAATCAACTGGTTGGGAATATTCGTCAGGCCGTTCGTCTTAATCAGTCCTTGATGCGAATCGTGTTGAAACCCGACAATCTATTTCGTGTCAATTCACAGGGCGAGCTGTTCACTCGAGAACCGATCGATAGAGATACGGTTTGTGCGCGTATGGCCTGTTGTGCGATGGAAGTTTGTCAACACCAGATGGACGCCTATCTGTTTCAACATCAACCGACCACTCCAACAACTGTACGAATACTTGTGTCGATTGCTGATGAGAACGATAATGCACCGGTGTTTATCCATAAGTCGATCAAAGCAAAAGATCCTGGTGCCACAGACTCACCCCCGTATTGGGAACTGAAAATTCCGGAGTCTACTCCGGTTGGGAGTCAGTACGCTCTGCCAACAGCTACCGACCTGGATTCCAAGCGCTTTGGTTTAAAGGGATATCGATTAATCCAGACAGACTCTCTACAGCTATCCAAGCAGTTTTGTTCCACGGGCTTCTTCCCATTCAGTCTCAACTACCATTCAGAACTAACTTTGTCCGATGAGTCACACACTCCGCACCTTCGGGTTGACCAAACCTTAGACAGAGAAATTTGTAGTGGCTATGATTTGTACATGATTGCTGAGGATGCCGGTGAGCCAGCTCTGAGTTCAGTTCTTCATATCCACGTGATTGTGCTCGATGTAAATGACTGTCCACCCGTTTTTCTTAATATATCTTCAGTCACGGAACTTGATGTGACTATTCCAGAAGACATATCCGTAGGAACAGTGATATATAGGTTTCATGTAGAGGATCCCGACGAAGGTATAAACGGGATTGTTTCCCTCTCGATCGACCTGCAAATAAATAGCCAAGCGACCAACAAAACTTTGTTGGATCAGATCTCGTCCAAATATACTATACGTAGCTCAACCGGTGAAGTTTGTGTGGCTCGTGAATTGGATTATGAGAACGAATTCGAGCGACGTCTAGTACTGCTTGTACGAGCCACTGACCGAGGGGCACCAAGTCTTACCTCCACGGCTAGTTTGACCGTTCATCTGGTGGACGTGAACGATAATGCACCTAGGATTGAAATTACGGAGGCGCAACCACAAGACACGTGGTTCCATTTGAAACGCCACTACGTTTTACGTGAAAATGACCCAGAGCCACGTCTTCTTAAGCTTATATCTGTGACCGATTTGGATGAAGTGTCTGTGGATAAAATTTCATGTGCATTGGAAGGCGGTTACTCGCAAGATTTCGAACTAAGACCCTATTCGAACTCAATGTATGGCTTGTTGAACCTGCGTGCTTTTGATTACGAGGTGGATTCGGACGATTCGGGCGAACTGTCCTTGATAGTTCAGTGCACAGACAATGCTGCTCCAAAGATGACCACGGTCGAACGCATTCGTATCTCCCTGGGAGACGATAATGATAATTGGCCAAAGTTCACGCAATCTCACTACGAATTTTATATCGCAGAGGACTTCTCTGTTGGTCGAGAACTGGGCCGTGTGTTGGCTAGTGATGCGGATAGCGGACCGCGAGGGAAACTCACCTATACGCTTAGCCCGGTAACATTCTCTTCAGATGGACTGGAATACAATGATACCGTTACAATTGATTCAGCAACCGGTGTACTGTTCTTGTCACAACCATTGGATCGGGAGCAACGAACCAGAATGGATTTTCTGGTGACCGTGTCGGATTGCATTTCGACTGACTGTGCCACTGAGGAGAGAAAAACAAACACGACTCGTGTGAGTATTTTTGTAATGGATGTGAATGACAACGCACCTGTATACACCGGACCCAATCCATTGCATGTGAATGAAGACGCACCTGTTGGCACAGTGATTGTTGAAAAAATGTTATTCCACGATCCCGACCTTGGAAAAAATGGAACATTTGACATATCATTCCTTGAAGTGCGTCGAACCAGTGGTAATGCGAACACTGAAGAGTTCAGCTTAAACCTGCAGTCGGTTGACAGAAACATAGCATGGTATAGTTCTCCTGTCAAATTAGACAACTCCTCTGGCTTGGTAATCGTTCGTCCTTGGGAAAGAGAGTCTACGTTACTGATCAAGGTACTGGCGGTGGACCGAGGCGATGTGGTCAGGTTTACCACGACAACTAATTTGATTCTCAACATTGATGATGTGAATGACAACGCGCCCGAACTAATCTTTCCTAGAAACGGCAGTGTTTTGCCCGGATCCATAACAAATTCCGATTGGGCCGAATTCGGCTATCCTCTTCNNNNCAGTTGACACCGCTTGGGGAACAATAATTGTCACTGTGCGGGGAAAGGACGCAGATGCCGGAACTAATGGAAGCATTACCTACCATATCGTGCCCTTTCAGACAACTTCGATGGATAATCAATCCGCAACTTCTAGTCTCGTAAGCAAGCGGAACAGCCCACAGTTTCCCGATGCATCAAGATACTTCAAGATCAACAAAATTACAGGACAGCTACAAACCTATTGGGGAGAATCTCCCGCTTCTAGACTGCCTACAAACACTTCGACTCCCACCAACATGGCGCCACCGGAAATAGGGTTCTATGTTCTACTCGTAGAGCTACGTGATGGTGGCAGACCACCTTTGAGCTCCACCGCAGTGTTCTATGTAAATATTAGTGAACCGATTCAGAAGTATTTTGGTTACTATTTGTTCAGCGGAATGAATATTAGCAATGTTTTGATAATGTGTATCATTGTCTCGTGCAGTGTCATACTGATAATAAGCTTGATTGGTGCCATATGTTGGGTTCGATTGCGGAAGAACACGCCACTGGGGAATGGGGTGGACGGGGGGAATTCGGTGAACTCTTCCGTGAAGCATCTACCCTCAGGACCCCATGTTGTTCCGCTTATACCAGCCAAACGAATCAGTAACTACGAGTTGGATCAGGACATGTTCAATCCTGATTGTGTGTCATGGCGACCGGATTACACATCTGATTTCCCAGTAAACGACAGCTCTGCTTTGAGTTTTTCTCCCCATGCAGGTATAACGACCAACTTCTCTTCCGGGAGCTGCAACTGTGCACACGGTGGAACCTTGTTTAGCACGGGCTGTGATTCAACGGTGAATAACTTTCGGCAACCTGGTTTGCACTCGCGATTGGATCAATACTACGTGGATGAAGCATCCCACCTCTACGGAATAGCGGACCCAGCTGTTGTATCCTCAATTCTTTATCAGTCCGAACCGAATCATTTTGAAAATGCGCACTACTCAATGGGCGGGACTACCACAAATAGTAATAATGGGGGGAGTGATAGTGGAATCGACAGCGGTACTGGATTCGTGACCTCTATGTTGACTGGCACCATGGAATCGAATACAAAACATACCGTGGATATTCGGAACCTGGGAGCGAAACCCGTGTTCTCAGTGAAAACATTGAACTATTAGAGATAAACAATTCTTGTGAGAAGATATCCTATTTCCTGTATAGTTTGGGTTGTTTTGTCCACATTTGCTTAACGTGAAGCAAGCTGTTTTCATCCACTTCCTTGCGTTGCCATATTACATCGGGAGTTATCGAGATCTATTCTTTCGCTTCGTTTCCGGAGGACCTGAATCTTTAATGCAAGGAACGAAGTAAGTTAACCAATCAGGTGATTGTTGTGCAAACTGAAGTCAGCGAATTAAAACTGATGGGTTCTACTACAGGAGTACTTGGAGTGAATGACGGGAGTTCAACTCCGGAACTCCGTGCAACGACAATAAATAAACAGGACTGTAACTAAAAAATAGCAGTTGCTCGGAAAGTCTGCCAGCACCTATCAGCAGAGCGTCTGATTTCTCACCTCTTGTTTATGTAGTCCGGACTTTATTTTGGGTGTAGTTTTACGGCACCAAAAGTGCCGCCAGCGCGATCATTATGGCAGGTGGGTTCCTCTGTTTGCCACCGAAAAATGCCACCAGGTTGACATTGCTGAGGGAACTCTGATCGGTATTTAGCCCGATGTTAACACCATTCCTTGACAATATAGCCTGGTAAAAGTTGCGTTTTTACCGGTGAAGCGAGTTCCTGTTTTCATCGTGATGTGTCGTGTAGACCACGTGACTGTGGCCACAAGGCACGACGACTCGATATAGTAGGCGGTAATTACTCAATCACTAAAACAATCTCGTCCTCATTAAGCAATTAAATAAATCTTTGGTACGCGGTGTGCATCGTGCCCAGTCTTCACGCCAGACTCGTTGAGCACGAAACAAATGTTAACTCTAATCAGTGATAATGGGACTGGCTCCTAAACAACTTCTGGAACCTTACTCCCATTTGTTCATCTATACCAACATCGCTTGTGCCGACCAAGGAGTTTGGTAATGCAACTAAGAAACAAACAGCGTTCGGCCTTATTATCACACTAATTCCTGCTTTTCCTAGTGTTGTGATTGAGCGGCTAAAAACAAAACGCCGAATCGGGTGTTCTCCGTCTACTTCAAGTCGGTAAAAGAGATCCTTCATTGGTCTTGTCAAAACGTTCCGACACTCATGAAGGGTTTTTTCGTTAATGAATGATAGGAATGATAAATTACTCAAAAGAAATCTAATTATGATTGAATATCCAGTTCCGCGTCCTGGGAGATGCGCGGCGCTTTGGAGTTTACAGCACAGGTTGGAAGCTACTGGTTATTCGGTTAAGAAATTGAGATTCTGACCTGGCATTCTTTGGAATTTTATCCATACGTTTCCTGAAGACTGTCAATTTGTTTTTCATAAAATCTATAACTCGGTATGTCTACTGTCAAACCAAAGGATCTTCGAGTTGACCAGTGAGTTGCGTATTCAATTTGAGATAAATAGAAATGACTGATCGTTGCTGCACCAGTTCGTGAATGAATGATGCATTAAAGTGATGCGTAAATACCGTTTTACTAAAATAAAGGAATAAAGGAAAAACAGCGTTTTTCCATTCGGATAAACTCGGCTTTTTTTAACTTGAGTCTGTGCACCCAAGAACGTGACAGAACTATTTTTTACTGTTGCCTGCATATTCAAATGAAAGTTATCTACGTGGTCTGTACAACAGTTTCCCAAAACTGTCCACTGTGATCTATGACGAGGAAGTCAAAATGACCAAAATTATACAAATACCTAGTTAGCGAACATCGATGTGGCCTTGAATTTACACGAAACGTTTCGATTTTGATATGATGTTGGGGTGGGGAAGAAATAGCTATTGAGAGTGGAGTGGAACAACCATGAAAATGTGTGATCAGTTTCGTAAGAAAAGTAGAGTTTATTTCGGTTGCCATCAAGTCAGAGGAGACCTTAGTTTAGATGACGTACTATGTTGTAGGCACCCCATAAGTTTAAAAAGAGGACTTGTATAAACCTATGCGCACGCCTTTCGGGGCCCATCAGCAATATGTCCATCATAAATCCACTGTGTACTTTCTAAATTTTATGGAGGACATAAACGGTTTTAATCAATAAAACGTGGAGGAGGACAAGACACGAAAGGTGATTCCGGGAAAGAATATCGAAATTTACCCTGTGTACGCACCGCAACTAGATGGGAATGTAGCGACACAGTCACCAACCCCCCCCCTCATTACCTTAGACAAATATCCCAATTATTAGTGCACAGCTGATGATGACCATCATACAAATCAGTAGGTATGTGCACTAATAGAAGATTTTAGTATGGTTGCGACACGTATGAAAATAAATACAGTGCGAAGTGGGAGCGAGAACTTATCGTATGTTCTTTCACTTTCACCCCTTGGTGAAAGTCCGGACGGCGGGAACGTGTTTTCTTCGCAGTATAGCTGCTACACGTGTTCCATGGTTGTCCGTGGACTTGCAGTGTTTGGCTGACACCTTGCTCCCTGCGTGCGCGCGAGTCTGTGTGTGCTGACTGTGTTCGATTTCCCTGTATGTAGGTCCGTTCGCGCGTACGTGGGCGCGTCAGCGCATGAGTGGTTGCTACGCTCACTAGACGATACAGACAATCGATGTCCGATGAGTCACCTTAGTGTGACGTAGTTTGTGAGTATGGAAAAAAGACAAGTCTCGTGATCCAGTGGGCGACTGTGGGCTGAACAGGCAAGTGCGTGGGTGACCGTGTCGCTACAGGAAGCAATAACTCATTGGTATCTCTGGTTAAGACCTGATCCCAAAACGGACGAATCAGCGGACCAGGAAACAGGGTTCATCTTAGAGGCAAAGGGACAATGGTCAGGAGGGGCAGGATGGGTCAACTCTCAAGGCCGGGCAGACATCCACCAATCAGAGACGGGGATCAACAGGTCAAGTTAGTATGAAGGTACACCAAAAGGGTCTTCGGAGGGAAAATCCATACACGGACAAGAAAAACCCATATTCATCCACAACGTACCTACAATCACAACGCACCGTTACGATTGGCAATCAAATTACCCAGCTCAGCAAATTAATCAACGGCCATCATCGAAACACGGTAGACTATACACGACCGTGTATGCTTTTGGACTTCTGTAGTTGATAAGGATACGGCTAGCTTGTGGACAGACATTCATAGTGCCTGTGTTGAATGTGAGCAGTTTGTTTGTGTGCGAATCGAGGACAATTGATGGGCGAACGGATAGGGCGAGAAAATATAAGTTGCAAGAAACGCTTCATTCAGGCCAAATGCATACAAACCTAATGCGCTCTCTCTGAAAAACGCCACTTCTGGTACTTGGTAAAATCCTTCTTGTCTGAAATTCTCACTTTTTGTCTTAGACTGGCGGAATTGAATGTGACGTTTTTACCAGCTAGTGGTGAATTTGTTCCAAGTTACCCAACTGGGTTAATATTTCGTCAGCTAGGGCAACCAGAGAATGACCAAACAGACGTTTGCTAGATATCAACCTGTCTACAATGCTCCTATTTTCTTGTTTTTCAAAGCAGATTATTGTCTTGAGCTATGAATAATTTAATATGTTGAAGAATATCTATCACACCGTTATTTATGATCTACCTTTGTGATGCACAGTTTCTGTTGGTAATGGGAGGAGATTTGTGTCTTTTTTGCGTAGATTTTGTCCTGTAAATGAAGCCAATATATGCAGAATAGCCGGGAAGCACTGTACAGCCTCTTCATCCTTATTGGGAACCATCAGCAGTGTGCATCTCACGAAACTCCGAAGAGTCTCGAACCCGCGACCTCCCGGCTAGTAGTTTGAACACTTAACCGTTCGGCCACGAGCGGCTGATCAGCAGTGGGATTAACTCGCACTTAGACAGGATACAGCGCCGCTCATCCTTCAATCACCGGATCCACATCACGCAGTCACACGTGTTGACTGGCTCCTCGAGCAACGACTTCTCAGAAGTTTCACTCATCGGGTGAAGTTTATTCTTCCACTGAGCTACTTACATATTGTTGGTAGTGTGAGGAGATTTCGGAATTTTGTGGGATTTCGTCCTGTAGGTGAAGCCAATCTATGCTGAATAGCCGAGAAGCGCTGTACAGTCGCTTCATCCTTATTGGGAACCATCAGCTGTGTGCATCTCACATTTTCTGTGGTTCCTAGTGCCCCTGCCTAAAAATGAGAGCAAATTTTCCTTCAAGAAGTTTCTGATCCTGGACTGCGTTCCTGCGAATAAACGAAGTACGATGCAGATGGTTTGGTGCGATGTCTTCCACTATCACGTTTTTCGACGACACTGAAAAATAAAAAGCCATACGCGTAAGATATCTGATTGCTCAAAACACATCTTTTGATAACAAAATAATTAAGTTTCACTTACTAATGAGACTCAAAATAATGACTGTGATGTGAAAAATTCATGTTCACTCTTCTTACTAGCAGACTGAGTCAGGTTGAATCTTACACACCTTTATTCTCGGAGCAAATGTGTTTCCACCTATAGTCGTCCTCATCATCATTATCGGCTGTAAGTACCGCGTACTTGTCGTACAGTGGTTATAGGTACTACTGTTTTCATAAAGATAACTACTAACAAGGTTGCTGAAAACTGTTCGACAGCCCACGACCGGTTTTGCCCTTCTTGGGGCTCATCAAGTAGGCGCAATCCCCGAGTTTCCATCAACCTTATGATCTACTTGAACACCGTTGATTTGGGGAGGCGGGGTTGGTAGCCGCGCATTGGAAACGGGAGCTGACATAATTGGTGCGCAAATACAGGGTTACCAGTGGACTTGGAGAGTGGGCAGAGATTGGCAGAGATAGGGCAGGGAGCTATGTACTGAAGGCGATAACTTAAATGCACGACCACCATTCAGGTACGACTAACGAATATCTGAAAATCTCTTCATTCACTGGTGTGCCTGTCTCTTGGTCGCCATCTAGCGGGACGGCAATGACGGTCGCAGCTGAGTTTGTCAGTCGTGGCTTTCATACCTTGCTGCAGAGTCATTGTCTGACCGCCTCTGTCTCGTTGTGCGAAGTAGCATACGGAACAGGCGGTGAAG